GTGCGTGCGTGCGTGCGTGTGTGCGTGCGTGCGTGCGTGCGTGTGTGAAGCCATAAAACCAGGGCCGGAGGTACGGACGAAGTGACGGATGTGAATGACAGGCGTGACTGACGGCAAACTGCTCACCGTTGCCACTGCCCTGCACTATCTGGGAGAGGGAGATAAGGCTCGAACATGCGTGTCACTCGATAGTTTCTGTTGACCTATGCATCCCCGAATACGTGTCTCTCTCTCTCTCTGAAACGACGTACGTTATATTAGCTGAATTTGCACGCCTGCCGCTCGAGACACCATCTTCTGTTTCTAAAGAGCGTATTTTCTTCGATTTTTGGCGCGGTTTGGTTTTTCGTTTTCATCGTAGTTGTAGAATAGATTAGACTTGATTTGGATTGCGGATGGGGCCGGCACGGGGTTGTAGGGCGGCGAGGTATGGTATGCACCTGTATGCGCTGCTTGCTTTATTGCAATCACATCACTAACACGTTTTTTGACGCTGTACGTCGGTTTTTATGGGCCAGTTTCGGGTATTTTTTACGGTACCAAAGATGCATCGCAACGTTTCTATTTTTTCAATCGTTGTTAGATGTAACGTTTGTTATACAAGTGATCGTGGTAAGACTTTCTGTCACCTGCTAGATGTACTAGACTGTCTAGTGTGTTGATTTTCATAGTTTAACCAAAAATTCCTTTCGAGCAGGTTGAATTCTAATGAATCACTGCTTAACATGTGCGTGAATTTTAAACTTTTTTTTGACTGCTACTCATTTTTGAGCGGATGTATTTTTCAAGAAGTAAAACGTTGATGTCAAAGCGTCGCCTCTCTGTTTATCGAGAAACCTTTTCTTTCTTTCCCGATCCGAGTAGAGGTAAGCAGGCCTCATATGCATCATCGTACGATTAATTAACTACAGCTTGCGTATCAACATTTATTACGTTTCTTTCTTTCTGGCACCTGATTTATTTGCCGTCTGCTATAGAGAAGATGGCCGGTACCTGCCTAGCGCCGCGGTGCAAGGTAGAGAGAAGCCAGGAAGTGCGATCCCGCTAACCTGCTCCCTCTCTGTCTGTGTCTGTGTCTGCAGGTGAATCGTAAGCTGTCTGAGTTTACAGGGACACTGAACCGGCGTACGGGCAGTCTGCAGTTCATCGATCAGCAGAGCGACGATTTCTCCAACGTGAAGGATTGCTTCCCGGCCTGCTGCTGCCATCCGTAAGTAACTGAACTGACAGTAGCGTGCTCTGCTGGCATCCGTAAGTAACCAAACTAACAGTAGCGCGCTCTGCTGGCATCCGTAAGTAACCAAACTAACAGTAGCGCGCTCTGCTGGCATCCGTAAGTAACCAAACTAACAGTAGCGCGCTCTGCTGGCTGGAGAGATACCTTGACTCTTGTAGAGCTTGACTGTGACCTTGACTCTTGTACGAGCTTGACTGTGACTTTGACCTTGTAGAGCTTCGACTGTGACTTGACTCTTGTGAGAGCTTGAACGATAGCCTTGACTCTTGTAGAGCTAACTGTGACCTTGACTCTTGTAGAAGCTTGACTCGTGACTGCTTGACTCTGTAGAGCTTGACTGTGACTTGACTCTTGTAGAGCTTAACTGTGACCTTGACTCTTGTAGAGCTTGACTGTGACTTTGACTTTTTGTAGAGCTTTGAGCTGTGACCTTGACTCTTGTAAGAGCTTGACTGTGGCCTTGACTCTCATTGACTTAGACTCTCATCGATCTTGATCCCTGAAATCTCGTTGACTTTAGAATCTCATCGACTTGATCTTACCTCTCGTTGACTTAGAACATCTGACCTTGACATGTCTCGCGTGGACGTTGACATTGACTCTCACGAGATCTTGACCGTTGAATCTCACTGACATTGACCATATCAGCGACATTGCCACCCATAGACTTAGCTTGACATTGTCATTGCATCGTTGAGATGCAATATTTTATGCTGCTGACTGAGCGCCTTGCAGTTGGTTGATATCTGTGGGTGCCTATAGCAGTGGTGGGCTTCTTTGTTATACTCTAGAGGGAATAGCCTCGTGGACCACAATGTGTGGGATTGCGATGTCAGCAAATCTTGCGTGTGCGTGTGTGTGTATGTGTGTGTGTGTGTGTGTGTGTGTGTGTGTGTTGTGTGTGTGTGTGTTGTGTGTGTGTGCGTGCGTGTGTGTGTATGTGTGTGTGTGTGTGTGTGTGTGTGTGTGTGTGTGTGTAGTGTGTGTGTATGTGTGTGTGTGTGCGTGTTTTGCGTGCTTCAGCGTTATTGTATGACGTGCGTGAACGTTATTGTGAGCCGAGATTGTAAGCCCTTGTACGCGTGTGTAAAAACGGCGTGAGAGTGTGACCGTGTGTGTGCTTGAGCGCGTGTGCGCGTGCGGGAGGCGAAATTTGTTTTCCCACTCGAGTTTCCGGACCCACCATAGATAGTGTTTTGTAAACATATGGTTCGTATATCATAGGTTGGGATTATAGTAGTGTTAGGTTCGGTTACGTGTTAGTGTTAGGGTTAGGGTTAGGGATAGGTGGTATTTATTTTACGATTGTTGCTTCGAGAAGTCGAGTGAATGGAGTGCGCTGATTGCGCTGTAGTCCGGAACTCAAGTGGGAAAACAATTTCGCGTGTGGAGAGCGTGTGTGCGCGTAAGAGAACGTGCGTGCGCGTACGACGAGCGTGCTGTGCGCGTCGTGTGGAGCGGTGTGTGCGCGGTGCGGAGCGTGTGTGCGGCGTGCGTGAGCGCGTGAGCGTGTGAGCGCGTGTGTGAGCGTATGCGTGAGCGTGTGTGCGCGTGCGTGAGCGGTGTGGCGCGTGCGCGTGAGCGTGTGTGCGCGTGCGTGAGCGTATGTGCGCGTGCGTGAGCGTGTGAGCGCGTGCGGGAGCGTGTGCGTGAGCGTGTACGTGAGTGTGTGAGCGTTTGCGTGAGCCTGTAAGCGCGTGTGCGCGTGCGGAAGCGTGTGCGCGTGAGCGTGTTCGTAGTTCGTCGCCTCGGCGATAGATGGCGTGGGCGCGCTAACCAGGCGGCTTCGCTGTGTGACAGGTGTTTGAGGACATCTACCTGGACGAGAAACCTGCGCTGAAGCGCGTGCTCTTCCAGCTGAACATTGCCTTCCTGGTGCTGTTCACCATCGAGATGTTCATGAAGTGGATCGCGTACGGCCTGCATCGCTACTTCACCAACTTCTGGACGATCCTGGACGCGCGCATCGTCACGGTGAGCACAGGGCGCCATGTTTGGGTCCCCTCGAGAGTCTGTGTTTCATCGTGACGGTGAGCACAGGGCGCCATGTTTGGGTCCCTTCGAGAGTCTGTGTTTCATCGTGACGGTGAGCACAGGGCGCCATGTTTGGGTCCCT